AAGGACGATTGATAAATTTACTAAACAAATACTTGTATCCTCTCTCCTCTCTTTCTCTCTCACACTTTTATATATTTTCTTTAGCAAATTGTTAAATTTGATGATTGTGTAATTGATACATATAGAAAAATATTTTGATTGTTATACTTGAAATTGCTTTGTTGATTATATTACAATCAATTGGTTTGTAAGTGGTATTTCATATCAATAAAGTTCAAAGGAAAATATGAAAAATTGATTGCACACCAAGTGTTCGATAATTTGCTAATTTACGTTTTTATTAATAATTTCAATGGAAATAGGTTTACATTGTGATTGTAGTAAAACAATTGATTGAGAAATCATTGTATTAAGTTTCTTATCATTGAATTGTATTCCATACGGTATACTACACATATCCGATTTTCCAATAATCAATTCGATTTAGACGACTTTTTGATCTAGGCTAAAACTTCTCCCTGCCTTAGTTTTTCATACTATTTTCAAACCAAAAATTTCAAAAGAGAGTTTTTATTTTGAGGATCTATTCACCCCTCTAAATAAATTGTCGTTGTCTACAGTTAGTTGATAATAGAGCTCTTAACTGACTATAACTATGTTTAGATCTTAGGTAGTTAGTTGATAATAACTACGAGGAAAATCAAATTTGTTAGTTACTTGAAAACCAAACTGAAATCTGAAAAGAAATATATTTGTTTAGAAAACAATTATCCATATTATGATAACTAGTAACAAACCCGTGTATAGGCATAAGGATACGTGTATAGGCATAAGGATACGTTTTTGGATGGAATGTGGTTTTAGACGCGTATTTGTTTGCAGATTGTATTAAAAAATAGTAAAAAAATTCATTATTCAATATTTGAATCAATAGTCTCATCTTTTCTGTTTCATATAATTTCTACGATATGAGAAAACAAAATTTATTAAAATTTTATTGACTTGTTACATAATTGGATCCGTGTTTCATTTTTTTCCGTTTCATATAATTTTCACGATATGAGAAAACAAATCTTATTATATATATTTGGATCAATAGTTTCATTTTTCTCGTCTCATATAATTTCCATGATATGAGAAAAAAATTATTAAAATTATATTGACCCACTATATATTTGGATTAATAGTTTCATTTTTTCCGTTTTATATGATTTCCACAAAAAACTAGCAAAATTTATTAAAATTTTATTAACTATATATATATATATATATATATATATATATATATATATATATATATATATATATATATATATATATATATATATATATATATATATATATACTTTATTATTTCAAGAAAAATTATATACTACTATATTTTTATTTATAAATTATAATTAGTTCGAAAAAATTTTATTTAAATAAATCTTAACCCGTACTTCGTACGGATATACGTACTAGTTTGATTTGAACACTCGAAGAGCTAAGAACAATGACAAGATTTAATATCTTTGTTTACATGATTTTACCTCTTTACCCACTTCTAAAATGATTTATTTTAAACATGATGAAAAACAAACTCATATAGAAAAAACATAAGAAGAAAAAGAAACAAAATGAAATCATTCAACAAATCTTGAAAAATCAATAATATAAATAGTCACACAAGAAAAGATGAAATATAAATCATGAAAAGTGATAAAATTTACCAATAATTTTCACTGAGTTGGATCCAAGTGGCAATGTGTTTTTCTATTAGAACTACTGAAAGCACACAAAACAAAAACATAAAACGAAACTAAAAAAACAATACTAAAAAGGGAGGCAAAGAGTCATAGTGAAGTTTGCAGAAAATTGAAAAAGTCACACAATAACCATTTCGAATCCGACACTATCAAACTCGCTGTCGAAAATGCATTGTCGGCATCACATATCTATCACCAAAAAATCACAGACTCCCATAAACGCCAGATCTGCCACCGTCTCCCCTATTCTGATTGCTACTTGATTTCCCCTTCTTCATTTCACTTTGATCCATGCTTTCAATTTTTGTTTACAAGAGAGATGGATTGAGATTTGTGTTCAAAAAAGAAGTTGAAAGAAAGAGAGATGAAACATTTTCTTAATAAAGAGAGTTGAAGAAATCCTTTGGAGAAGAAGAAATGCAGGGCCAACAAATGGAGAGAGAGAGGGTTTCAAAAACCTTATTGAATATGAAAGAGAGAAATGCAAAACCAAATACAACTGTGATGTGATGATACATGGATAAAAGAGAAAATTTGAAAAGTGTAAATATTTATAATTGATTTGAAATCAAATAGTCTAAAATCCAATTCTCATCATACATACTAGAAAGAAAGTAGAAGAAATAGAAACTAAAGCAGTTGATACATCTAGTTTGATTCAAAAAAGTATGTTTTTTTACTCAATTTGTCTCAATTTTTCATAGAGAGTTTCTCTTTACACCTAGTAGAAGTGAAAATCATCTCTGAAAAATTGAAAATACCCTTCGGAGATGCACTTCCGAACGCACCTATCAAAATGTTTCAGATGTGCATCTCCGAAGACACCATTTTCCCAGGTTTTATAACATAAACGTTGGATTTGAAATTCTTGAGGTAGTTTCAGATATCCACATTTGAAACATTCTTGAGGTGATTTCAAAAGTGCATCTCTGAAACTTCCTCTGTTTGTGTCATTTTTTGTTTACAACAACATAGTTATCCATACCAGATAAACGGATAAATTATTTCGAAAATATGAAATGAACATAACATTTCGGACATAACGATTATATTAGATGTTCAAACATATGGAAACATAATTTAGTACATAAGTTGTTCGAAAAGTGTGTAATGTAAAAATATTACATCAATTACAAAAAACAATACATAACATAGGCTACTGCTACTGCGTATGCATGATCCTCACCCCTGTGACCTCCTATGCTGACTTACTGCGCCGCACTAGATGTCTCCCTAACCATCCTCCCAACTATGACAACCGCCTCAGGACCACTCTCTCGATGATATCAGAATCCAATGCCTCGTGTTCAAGTAGGTGTATCCGCTGACAGAACGACAAGAGATCAGTGGCATGGCGATCCTCGACCTGTTGTTTCTTCAAGATCTCTTCATGAGCTGACCTAGGTGGTCGTCCAGGACCATCTGATGTCATGATAGGATGTGACAAGTTAAAGAACCATGTCACGTAACCCTCATGTGGCATCAAATGATTCTCCCAATCATGGAAGATGGCATCGAGATCCCATCGGACAATGGTGTCGGGAGCATCCTGAAAAAATAGATCTCGGTATCATCTGCACAAAGCCAAACTGCCAGATACATCTCTCCGGAAGATATCTGGCCATAAGATTCGACCCACATGCTAGCCACCCAGAGTATAATGAGATGTGATCGAATGGGACAACATCTCTGTAAACCTTAAACGAAGCCCATTTGATGTCATCATGATTAGTGCCGTCAAAATACACATGGTAAGGCGACACCTTATGATTCCCTATATGGAGGACATACTTTGTAGCCCTCTGCATGTCGCCAGTATAACCAGGATTAGGCTCGAAACTATGAATGCGGTGGAAGTGAGAGATTATCTAGCTCTGAAATAGAAAGCATAAAATATGTAAGTACAAATTATAAAAAACAAATTAACGGTAAAAGTTGAAATGAAATATACCGTGAGGAGTGTGCAAGAACTAGTGAGCTGTCTCACCTTCCACCTTGAAGCTTCATTCAGCTTCTGGTACAGGTATGCCAAAATGGCGGCTCCCTAGTTCCACTCATGAATAATACTCAGATCCATAAAATATCGAAGGTACGTCACATCTACGTAGTATGCACTTTTGTCCACAAAGAGGGACATGACAACCATAAACATGAAGTAACACCGTAAAGCACAATCTCAGTGGTACTGGACAAAAACTTCATCACCATCATCCTCGACCGCTGCTGCTGCAACCAGATGCTCCTCATATAGATCCTTTAGGTGCGCGAATTTTGCATGCGCCCCATTTGTGATTCTGTAGTCCTCGACTGCCTTATATGAGTTAGCACTCAGATACTCAGTCTGTTTGACCTCCCTTGTCTCAAACGATTGTTCTTATCCTGGTTGTCTGCCATAGTCCTGAAAAATTAATTTAAATTGTTAAATAAAAAAAATAACTCAGGCAAGAGTTCAAATGTGCACATCCGAACCTGGTCCAAGGGGATTTCAGATGTGCACTTTCAAAACCACCTGCAAACTAATTTTCAAGAAGCAGCGCAACTTCTTCTTGCAATCATCCAAATACAATTTTTTTTGTCACCCAAACACCTAAATTTAACTATTCTAACAACAATCTACACAATGTCATTGATTCTAGCTAACCTAATAAACTATTATAACATTGCATAATGAATCGAATGGAAATGGAGAAAACTTACACAAATTTGGAGCTCTAGGAATGAGTTGAAATGACTTGAAATGACTTTAAATGGGGGAGATGAGTAGAAATGAATTAGTGCTTAGAAATTAAGGGTTTTGGTGTAGAAAAGTGAAGTTTTTGAGTTTGAATGTAAATGGGTATGTTCTATTCACTGTTTTGCAAATGACATAATGATTTCGGAGATCTACATCCGAAGTCATTTTTTTAAAATAAGATGACTTCGGATATGCATATGCGAACATACTTATTTTTTTTGGTCAAATATAATAACTTTAGATATGCATATCCAAAGTAAATATAATAAATTACGTTAGTGATTCATTTGAAGAAGCACTTTCGAATTGTGATAGTATTTTGAACAATTCGCCCGAGGTCAATAAGTATAAAAAGAAATTTTGTTTTTCATATATGTCAAAATTAAAAATAAGGGCATAAATAATTTTTGTAGTTAGAGGTTGTTTTGGTTTTCCACAATAGTTTTCTCTTATTTTTTCTTGAAAATTTCCTTTCCTTTTTCTATCTCGTCCTTAGCTCAAATAAATAGAGATGGTAGCACCAACCACCATTGCCACCCTGACGCTAGAGTAACACAAACAACTTTCTTATATTGTCTATGTTTACCACTAAAATCAAACCCTTTTTCGACTCTCTCCCACAACGACCTTCACTCCACCAAATCAAACAAACCCACGCACACATCATCGTTTCAGACCAATCCCAATCCCGTCTCATCCCTCACATTCTCTCTTTACTTTCTCTCTCTACATTCCCACTCTACTACTCCCTCTCCGTTTTCAACTCAATTTCCTCCCCAACAGTTTTCGCTTTCAACTCCATCATCCGTTGCCACGCCAAATCAAATTCACCTCCTTCCAACTCCATCAAACTTTACTCCTCCATGCGACGTCGTTTCCTCAATCCCAATCAACACACATTCACTTTCCTCCTTCACGCATGCACCAAAGGGAGAACTTTCACGTCCACGTCCACCACTACCTCAGGTGTTCAGGTTCATGTTCATGTGATCAAACTTGGTTACGCGCGCCATGTGTTTGTTCGAAACGCGCTTATTCATTTTTACTTTGAGGGTTTTTCAACGACTGAGTATTCCAAAAGGGTTTTTGATGAAGATACGGATACCCTTTGCAGTGATGTTGTCACGTGGAACTCCATGTTGGCTGGTTTGGTTAGGAGAGGAGAGGTTGGTGTTGCGGAGAAGATGTTCGATGAAATGCCGCACAGAGATGTTGTTTCTTGGAGTTCTATGATAATGGGGTATGTTCAAAATGGGAACTTGGAAGATGGGTTGGAGTGTTTTAGGTTAATGAGGGAGAGAGGGGTAAGACCCAATGAGGCTATTTTGGTTACTGTGCTATCTGCTTGTTCTCAGATGGGTTTGTTAGGGTGTGGGAGGTTTATTCATTCCACGATTGAATCTTTGAGATTTCGAATTAGTGTACCGATTGGAACTGCTTTGGTTGATATGTATGCAAAGTGTGGTTGCATTGAAGAGTCGAGAGTTTTGTTTGATAGTATGTTGAAGAAGGATATATGGACTTGGAATGTTATGATTTGTGGGTTGGCTTCACATGATCGTTCAAAAGAAGCACTTGCGTTATTTCATGAGTTTATACGTGAGGGTTTTAGTCCGGTGAATGTGACTTTTGTTGGAGTTTTAAATGCTTGTAGTAGGGCTGGTTTTGTTGGTGAGGGGAAGCGTTACTTTAAGTTGATGGTGGATGGTTATGGAATTCAACCGGAGATGGAGCACTATGGGTGCATGGTTGATCTTCTGGCTCGTGCGGGATTAATAGATGAAGCGGTTCGGTTGACTGAGACAATGACTGTTGCACCGGATCCTGTAATGTGGGCAACACTGCTTGATGCTTGTAAGATTCATGGGTTGGTGGAAATGGGAGAAACAATTGGAAATAAGTTGTTAAGGTTGGATCCGACGCATGATGGTCATTATGTGCAGTTAGCTGGAATCTATGCAAAAGCAAGAAAATGGGAAGATGTCGATAGAGTTCGAAGGTTAATGGTTGAGAGAGTTGCCAATAAAGTTGCGGGTTGGAGCTTAATTGAAGCGGATGGTAAAGTTCATCGCTTTGTTGCAGGAGACAGAGACCATGACTATTCTTCAGACATTTACAGAATGCTTGAAATAATAGGACTGAGGATAACTGAAGCTGGTTACTCACCAGAACAGCTATCCTGTGTAGCATGATTTAGGAGAAGAAGGTGATCAATTTTCCAAGGAGGGGAATGAAAGGGAGGATTTAGTTACCAAACATTTTCCCCGCACGGCCCATGAGATCATTCAAGATTATTTAACAGTTCTGTCAGTAGGATGAATATCAACCAAAACTTTTTTAGTCAATTAGGTTTCCTAAGGAAGGGATTTATTGGGAGGGATTATTCACCGAAACTTTTTTAGTCGAGACTCATAAGATATAAATTAAGTCAGCTGGAATCTATGCAAAAGCAAGAAAATGGGAAGATGTGTTTAGATTTCGATGGTTAATGGTTGAGAGAGTTACCAATAAAGTTGTGGGTTGGAGCTTAATTGAAGCGGAGGGTAAAGTTCATCGCTTTCTTGCAGGAGACAGAGACCATGACCATTCTTCAGACATTTACAGAATGCTTGAAATAGTAGGACTGAGGGTGACTGAAACTGGTTTCTCACCAAAACAGCTCACCTGTGTAGCATGATATAGGAGAAGAAGGGGTTGATTTTTCAAGCAAGGGAATGATAAGAGTTTAGTTACCAAATCATTTTCACGCATAACCTGTGAGATATCATTCAAGATATAGTTCTATTTGACAACCATGTCAGTAGGATTTTCATCCGGGTGTAAGGTCTTTGGTGCTCTTTGAAGAAAGGGATAAATTTTCCAAAACATCTTTACTCAGTCAATCAAGTTTCCCAAGCAAGGGATTTATTGGGAAGCATTATTCACCAAAACTTATTCAGTCAAGACAGTTAAGATAGAAATCACGCCAGTTGTATTTAACAATTCTGCTAGTAGAGTTTTCATCTGAATGGACGGTGTATGGTGCTCCTGGATTTTGCGTTTTTCTTAGACGTGAAATATAGTTTTATTTGACTTGGGGCTTCTTGTGTACACAATAATCAAGTTCCGAGCATTTGATGATCAGCATTGGAAAAATACTTGTATAGGATAATCATCACGAGAGATATTTATTTAGGTTTGGTGTCACTTAAGGCTGGAGCATTATGGTTCAAAGATTAAAATTCTTAAGATTTGGTTTGCTTAGTGATGGGTGATATTCAATTCTTCAAAATCATCAAAACTATTTCAATGGAATTTGAAGGTATATTTTTTCTTTGTCTAGGTTTTGATCTTTCAAGGCCATTTCTGTTTTTGTCTCTGCTGATATGGCTTCAAAATAATCTGCATCGATGCTGGTCATAATCTGGTTGATAACTTTCAGGTTTAGGAGAGCTGAGTCTTAACTTCTTAGAGACATCTTGTGCTTAGGATCTTTCTCTTCTATTCTAAATTATCATTTCTTTTAAAAGAATTCCTGAATTTCTTTGGCATACAGGGTTGTGTGTGTGTGTAATGTTTATGTGGTGAACACGTAGTCGATCAGACGACCATTGGTCAAGATCACTTGGGCTACGAAGCATAGCAGCAAACCACATATTCTTCCTCTTCAGTACAGTTCATGGATTTAAGTGTCTCTCTCTATAGTTGCAGTGAGTTTTTAAGAGTTGATTATGTTTGATGATTCAGATGTTTATAATTGATTGCTGGTGGCATAATAATATGTTTTGGCCAACCTAGTTGTTGAAAGTTGTGTTGTCCATAGTTTTCATCAAGAGGACGCTGACATGACATCATTTTCGTGAGGTTTCTTTGGAGAGAAAATAAACACGTATAATTTTTATATTAGATAACAGTATCAACAATAGTTAATTTACTGTAACTAAGTTTTGTACTTAAACTTATCAGATTCATGAGTATTATTTGAGTGTTTGAGCCAGTAACACTGTAAAATTCACGTATGTTTCTTTTTTAAACAGATTCACGAGTTGTTAACTATTTATCCCCGTCTTATTTATAAAATACAATTTATATTTTAGATTCATTCATCGAATTAAAAAAAGTACTTTATCTCTTATAAATAGGACTAGATGGAGAATTATACAACATAGAACATAAAAGTTCAAGGCAAAATACCCTTTTTAGTCCTTTAACTTTACCCCAAGGTCCATTTTGGTCCTTTATCTAAAAAAAGTGTCAAACTGGTCCTATAATTCTTTCAAAAGGACCACGTTTGTCCTTTCCATCCACTCTGTTAGTCATGTTTAATGGCAGCGCTTATGTGGCATTACACGTGGGTTTAGAAAAATTGCATAAGTCAGTTTGACACTCTTATGTGGCATTACCACTCATCCATTGCATGTTTCCTTGAAGGTGAAACCAGACTTCTCATCAGAGGTAAGTTTCTGCTTTCTGCAAGAATTCTATTTTCATAGTTAGGGTTTCCATGAAATTCGTCTCCCTTCTCTGAAATTCATCTCTCTATTTAGGGCATTGTGTGTAATGGAGGAAATTCTTAATATTACGATACACCACAGTGGTCAATTTGTTAGTGAGGACTTGAGTGTGTATGTAGGAGGTGAGATTGCTGATTTGAGAGTAGGTGCTGATATGTGGGGTTATTTTGAGTTATTGGGTGCTATTAAGGAACTAGGTTACCCAGCCATAGAGAAGATATACTATAAGGATCCAACTGCTGGAATGAATCTGTTGTTTGATGACAAAGGGGCCTTAGAGATTGCTGATCTATATAGGGTTCATTTACGTGTTGAAGTCTTTATTCAACACCCATTGTCACAGCCTGAGTATGTTGATGAGAGTGAAGTTATTTTAGATGAGATACCCCTGAATGTAATGGAAGATGATGCAGTTAGACAAAATGAGGTAAGTGAGGATGCTGTTGGACAGAAGGAGGCAAGTGAAGATGTTGTTATACAGAAGGAGGCAATTGAAGATGTTGTTGGACAGAAGGAGGCAAGTGAAGATGTTGTTATACAGAATGAGGCAAGTGAAGATGATGTTGGACAGAAGGAGGCAAGTGAAAATGCTGTTGGACAGAACGATGATGATAGTTCTGATGATGATAGCTCTGATGATAGTAGCTTTTCGTATGATAGTGCAAAGGAGGTTGTATTTGATGATGAAACGGATGACTGTGATACTGACTTAGAAGAGGAAGAAGGTATGGCAGAAGTAACTGATCTCTGTGAAACTGAACCAAATAAAGAAGATAGTAAAGGAAGTGATAAAGGAAGTGATAAAGGAAGTGATAATGAAAGTGAGGATCTTGTAAGTGATTGTGATAGTGAAGATAGCAATACTACCAAGAGAAAGAAGTATCCCATTTTCAAGCTTCTAAAGGATATGTCCAATTACAAATGAGAAGTGGGTACATATTTTAGTACAAAAGAAGATATCAAGGAAGCAGTTACCTCTTATGCAGTCCAATCTGGCAGAAATTTAAAGTACATCAAAAATGACAAGATAAGGGTTAGGGTTAGGTGTAAGGATGGATGTGAATGGGAAGGTTATTGGGCTAAGTTGGATGTTGAGGATACTTGGCAACTAAGAAAGGTGATAGACACCCATAGTTGTAGTAGAGAATATCATGTGAAGTTGTTGAAGACTAAATGGCTTAGCAAGAGGTTGCAGAATGCACTTAAAACCAACCCTAGATTGAAGCTTAAGGACATTAAGGAAAAGGTGCAGAGGAAGTGGAATGTGGGGGTCAACAAAACCAAGGCTATAAGGGCTAGGTTTGCAGCAAGAGACATGGTTGATGGGTCATTCTTAGGGGATTATACAAGGATTTATGACTATGCACATGAGTTGTTAAGATCTAACCCATGGTCAACTGTGAAAGTACATGTCCAACCAGCTCAAGAAGGTAGTGGTGTTCAGAAATTACACTTCAAAAGGATTTACATATGCTTGGCAGCTTGTAAGGAAAGCTTCAGGTTAAGTAGACATTTCATAGGGCTTGATGGGTGTTTTTTGAAAGGGCTTTGTGGAGGTCAAATCCTGTCAGCCATAGGCAGAGATCCCAATGATCAAATGCTACCAATAGCATATGCAGTAGTGGAGAGTGAAAACAAGGAAAGTTGGACATGGTTCTTGGAGCTGCTTATTGGTGATCTAGGTGGAAGAGAAGAGTGTCTCACATACACTTTTATTTCTGATCAACAAAAGGTATGACTCTATTGTTAATTCTCAATTGATTAGTATTTTTAATAATTAAATTCTCATGTTTATCTTGGTATTCTCATGTTTAATAATTAAGTTATATACATATCATGACCCAGGGATTATTGTCTGCAATGGAGGAACTGCTGCCTACAGTTGAACAAAGATTCTGTGTTAGGCATCTCTACAACAACTTTAGGAAGAGATTTCCAGGAAAAAAACTAAAGGAAATTATATGGAAGGCATCCAAATCAACTTACTACCAAGCTTGGGAAAGAGAGATGAAAGTTATGAAACATATCAATGGAGAAGCATACAAGCACATGATGTCTACCCCTCCAAGGTTTTGGAGCAGATCATACTTCAAGACTCATAACAAATGCGATGCAGTTCTCAATAATATGTCAGAATCCTTTAATAGTGTTATTTTGGAGTCAAGGGCCAAGCCATTAATAACCATGGTGGAAGAAATTAGGATATACATGATGGAGAGATGGGCTACAAACAGGATGAGGTTTCAGAAATTGACAGATGTAGAAGTGTTGCCAAACATTATGAAAAAGGTTGAGAAAACAAGTTCATTCACAAACATGTGGCTTCCCAGGTAAAATTATTAAAACAAGCATTTTTTCTGTGTTAGAATGTCTGACTTTGGAATGTCCATTCTCATCTTAATTTGGAATGTCCATTTTTCTGTGTTAGGATGTCTGATGAGCATATGTTTGAAGTGAGGCATCTGGAAAATTCTGCTGAAAAATTCACTGTAAACTTGAAGGAAAAAATCTGTTCATGCAGAAGATGGGAGCTAACAGGCCTACCATGTGTTCATTCACTTGCAGCAATCAAGAATAGGAACCATAGGATTGATGAATACATTCCTGATTATTACAGGAAATCTAGATATTTGCAAGTGTACAAACCTGTCATATTCCCTGTTAATGGCTCAAACCTATGGGTTACAACTGAGTACCCTGATGTTATGCCACCCAAATTCAGGAAAATGCCTGGAAGGCCAAAGAAAAGGAGGAATTTAGAGCAAGGTGAGCTAGATGGTACTGATAAAAAGATGAGAAGAACATGATTCATTATAAAGTGTAGCAGGTGTAAGCAGGTAGGTCACGACAAGCTTACTTGTAAGGTGCCTTCTACTAGTCAGACACATGTAGCTCAACCATCTCTACCACAAGCACCATCTGTACCACAAGCACCAGTGCCTTCTCAACCATCTCAAGCATCTGTACCAGTGCCTTCTCAACCATCTCAAGCATCTGTACCAGTTCCTTCTCAACCATCTCAAGCATCTGTACCAGTGCCTTCTCAACCATCTGTACCAGTGGCATCATCTGTACCAGTGGCATCTGTACCAGTGGCATCTCAAGCATCTAAGTCAGTTCCTGGTCAAGGTTCTCAGGCATCTCAATCTAAATCATCCAAAAAGTTATCAGTTAGAAGGCCAAATGCACCATTTGTCCCATCTCAAGCATCTAAGTCAGTTCCTGGTCAAGCTTCTCAGCCATCTCAATCTAAATCATCCAAAAAGTTGTCAGTTCGAAGGCCAAATGCACCATTTGTCCCACCAGGTCCAACAACGAGGTTAAAGGCATCAATAACTGTTGTAGGTCCAACAACAAGAAGGACAACACCAACTAAAAGAGCAGCACCAAAGTGGAAACCTTAGTTTACTTTTATGTCTGTTTTGGATTAGGATTGGACCTATAGTTGTTATGTTGTTTTGTTAACTTGGAATATTAGAATTGGTTATGTTAAGTTGTTTTGATCATGTAATATCAAGAAGGACAAGTTTTTGTTTTGACCTGTAATATCAGGTTGTTGTTTTGATCATGTAATATCAAGAAGGACAAGTTTTTGTTTTGACCTGTAATATCAGGCTGTTTGGATTGGACCTGTAATATCAGGTTCTTTTGTATGCAACTTAGTGGTATCCACCAACTTATAATTATATGTTTTGATTGTTACAGTATGTTACATTATGTTTTACATTGATACAAAAATGCTACTAGTTTTACAGTACGTTACATTGATCAAAATGCTACATTGATACAAAAATTGCTACATTATGTTTTACAGTATGTTACATTGATCAAAATGCTACTAGTTCAAAAATTCAAGTTGATACAAAAATTCAAATTCATAATGATACCATGTTCAAATTGAGACTGTGTTACATATGAATCTATTACAACATCATCCAAATTACCACAACTAACATAATAAAGAAGAATCTTTTCCATTTTTTCTGAGAATTCTTCATCTTCTTCATTTCAATTTGTAACTCCATTATCTTATGTTTCAGCCCATCCTTCCTTTCCTTTAGATGATGTATCTCCATCTTTGCTCCATCAAGCTCATTTTGCAGCTTCTCCAACCTATTATTCTGCTTCTTTATAAACTGATCCTTCTCATCCACCACATCATCAAAGAACCATTGAAAGTATCCACACCCAGATTCAGATGAACCCTGTAATGGTGACATCCAGATTCATCTCAGCTATTGCAGGAACTATCAGAACAAGAATATATGAAAACCCATTTTAATTTCATGCTTACCTTGTAATGACGACAACCCCAGAATTGCTTCCCAAAGTTTGTGACGGTGGTAGCCCTTCGAAGAACCGCAGATTCTCCACAACCACATATAGGTCTCCATCGCAACTTTCCATCTAAGCTTCCATCTCTATTGCAATCGTACGAAGACCGGATCTCTGATGATGCTTCCTTCATCATATTGAGGGAATTTCAAATTCAAAATGGGAAAATTGAGGATTTCTTGAACCCTAGAATTTGAGGATTTCTGGAACCAGCTTGAAGATGATAACATTCCATGTCACCTGCCACGCATGCAAACCAAACGTCCGTTTGGGCCTTTTGGACGGAAAGGATTCCTATGGTCCTTTTGAAAGAATTATAGGACCAGTTTGACACTTTTTTTAGATAAAGGACCAAAATGGACCTTGGGATAAAGTTAAAGGACTAAAAAGGGTATTTTGCCAAAGTTCAATATCTAGATTTCATGTCTTGTGACTAGAATTATAGGACAAATTGTAATGTAAATGTAACGTAAAACATAAAACTAATAAAGTCTTACTCAGAGGAGACCCTACCATGCCATGAATTTATTGCACTCAGTTACCCTTTTTGTGCAATTTTATGACAAAACACAACAAAAATAAAAATAAATCTTATAATTAAAGACAAATAGAATTGTTTTCTAGTTATTGTGATAGTAGGTGGTGGAGGCATTACTATAAAAAGTATCTATAATTACTATTAGAAGAAAGATTCAACCACGAATGGTGGTCGTAAAGAGTTTGACGGTAAGTATGCTATTTTGTACTAGTTAAAATTCATGGTGAAAAATTGGATAGCATGCCACATTTCACTAAGGTTAAAAATTCCAAATGTGGCGAAATATAGTCAGTTTACTTATCTCGTTAGAACTTTCAACTCACTTTTCGCTACTACCATTGAAATCTTCAATCCATTTTTCACCATTATTGAAATTTCTAGTCATGGTGAAATGTCAATTAACTCACTTTTTATCACGGTTAAAAATTTAAATCGTAGTGAATCCTTCGATACAAGCTACTAGTCACACCTTTCATTTGGGCGCATGAATCCTTCAGCACAAGGTTTTGGTCAAAACTTTCGTTTGGGCATTTGACTCCCTTCACGCTTGCTTCGTTTGGGCACATGAATCTTTCAGTACAAGCTACTGGTCACACCTTTCATTTGGGTATGTTTGGTTTCCTTCATGCAAGCTTCGTTTGAACATAGATCTTTTGCATGTTGGCATGAAGTCACAAGGCAGGGACCCCCTATGTACACTCCTTCGTTTGGCCACTTGGACCTTTGGGCACGCAAGCCTTTGATTGGACAGGACCACCTTCACAAGGTTTCCTTACACCCTGTGTCCCCTTCGAATCAGCATCTTTCGAATCAAACTATGAGCATCCCATTCGAAGGACATGCCTGATGGTCCATTCGAAGGATTTACAAGCCACTTTAAGGCATGTTTTTGGTGACCCATCCAAGGGTCACACTTTTGGCTCCTTCGAAGGAAGCACAAAAGTGACTCAATCGAAAGGCACTTGTTAGAGAAAAATAAAATAGTTTGTTTGGAGAAGAGTCTGGTAGAAGAAGAGTCAAAACGACAAAGTAAAATATTCAAAGATGCTTGC